GTCCGCTGGCCCCCTCCCAGTGCTACTTTCCCCGCCCACAGCTGCGATTCCGCACCTGGAAGCCGTGAGGGCAGGTGGGGAGACTCCTCCATCTCCGCTGGGTCCCCATCTCCTTCCAGTCTTGACCATTAAGACGTTGCGAGCATCTCCGCCCCACCCCCACCGGCCCTGGAGGTTGCTTTCCCTAAAATGGGCCTGACGTCCTCCATGGGGAGCTGTTCCTGGGCCTTTGGGAGCCCCTGGAGGGGTTCTCAGAAGCACACCCCGCCTCTTCGCCGAGGAAACAGCGTGCGAGGGCGATCTTTTGATCTGACCAGAAAATTAACCCGTCTCTCTCTGCCTTGCAGTGCGTTGCTGACTTGCCATTCCAGATCTTCTGCGCACAGAGGGCAGGATCTGAATATCCTTCAGGTGTGTAACCTCACAGCAGGCGCTCAGTAAACTAATAACCCTTCCATTCCTATGGGGCTTTAGCACTTGGCGGTTTTCCCAAAGCATTTGAGCTTCAGTAGTCCCTCCGGGTGGAGGTTGGAAAGAAGGAAGAGAAACGGAGGGTCAGAGAGGCTTAGAGGCATGTCCACTAGAGGAGGAGCTAGGACGAGTCCCAGTCTCGCTTTTCTTAATGCTCTTCTCACAGAATTCCCGGCCTGGTGAATGAATGAATGAATTCCTTCTGAGGGAGGGCCTCACGCACATCCTTGCCTCCTACCCAACAGACACAGACACACTGTAGGTGTGTGTTGATGGCTTTTCACCCACACCCTCCCAATCCATAGATTTTGCTTTCTTTTTAAATTATTATTTACTTGTTAGATTTGTTTCCCCATAATTCTCTGCTGGGCCAAGGGAGTTGAATGGTTGGGAGATGGGAGATGTTCCATCTAAGGGAGAAAAAAAGATTTCTGCGACGGCAAAGAAAAATAGTGACCGGGTATTTATTAGAGTGTGTGCTAATTGCTCATGGATTTCCTGTCTGCCACCCCAATACCCAACCTTAGTAGATCCTTTTTACACTCACCACTGCTGTTGAACCTTCTTGTTCTCCTCCTCCATCCAACTATAAAAGTATAAAGTACTATTAAAGTACTGCTTGTATTTCCACTGTCCTCACAACAATCTCTTTGTGGTTATGTTTCTTTTTTGATTTTCTAAATCCGAAGGAGAACAGGAGTTGGGTGACAAGGTAGTTCTGGTTGCTAGAAAAGTTAGTGTAATATACTGCATTTCAAACTGTTTGTTACTAGCAACTCGGGATCAAAAGATAGACCAATCTTTAAGCTAAGAATCCAATATAATTTGGGAACTGCAGTTCAAAAATGTGCCACAGACCAAAGGATCGGTATTGGTAAAGAACATACATGCTAAAGCAACACACATCACAATCATGGGAGTGAAAGTTGAAACTGTTATTTGGCCAGATATTTTTAAATACCTTGGTTTGAATATATAGTTACTATATCTTTAAGCTGGCTGCATTTTACATTTTAAAGCTGCTTTGGGCTACATTTAGATGATCTCTACCAATAAGGTCTGAAATTTTTTAAGCTAACTTTTAGATAATGTTATCATTACTAAAAGGCTTTAAATGAATTCAGGAGGTGTCTTTTGCTAGAGGGAATTCTAAAGTACTTAAAAATTGTATTAAAAATGTGTTCTAGCATAAGTGAGAATTTGAGTTTAAAAGTGATTTTGGTCGTGGACGAGGTGGCTGAGTGGTTAAGGCAATGGACTGCTAAAAGTGATTTTGCTTTTTAAATTTAGGGTACATACAACATCAGGAGCACATAAATAGGGCCATTAGATAAAGAAAGTAGCATACATTATTTACAAGTCAATCATTCAAATCAGACACTTACTGAATATCTAGTTTGTGCCTGTGGGAGATGCCAGCCTATGTGCCAATATCTATTCTTGAATTCCCAAAGATAAGGGTTTGTTGAAGTAGTTAGTTGCTATTCGGTATTGAAGGAGTTATGTTTTGTTGAAGATGAATGTCATGAATATTTTCAAATATATAGCTGAATTGACACTGTAATGAGATACATCTTTAGATTGCTCTTTAACAAAGACCTTTGGAGGTACCACATCAGTAGTAGTAGTAGTAAGACTTAACACAAGTTATAGCTAGTTAATGGCAAAGCCAGTTACATTTTAAGACTTCTAACACCCATATAGAGATCTTTTAACTAGATCATGCTTTCAACCACTAATGCAGTGGTTCTCAACCTTCCTAATGCCACAACCCTTTAACACAGTTCCTGATGTTGTGGTGGCCCCCAACCATAAAATATTTTCGTTGCTACTTCATAACTGTCATTTTGCTGCTGTTATGAATTATAATCTAAATATCTGATATGCAGAATATATTTTCATTGTTACCAACTGAACATAATTAAAGCATAGTGATTAATCACAAAAACAATATGTAATTATATATGTGTTTTCCGATGGTCTTAGGTGACCCCTGTGAAAGGGTCATTCAACCCCCAAAGGGGTCGCGACCCACAGGTTGAGAACCCCTGCACTAATGGAATCTTATTGAGAACTTTTGTCATTGTTACTAAGAAAATATCTTTCATTTTAATCTACATTTGTAAAACACTAGAGGCCCAGTGCACAAAATTCATGCATGGGTAGGGTCCCTAGGCCTGGCTGGTGATCAGGGCAGATCAAATACCCCCCCCCCACCACCACCATGCCTTCCTGCCTCCCAGCCTCCTCCTCCCCTCACTCTCCTCAGTGCCTGCCAGGCCACTGGCTTCCCACCATGTTCCACGCTGCCCCCTGGTGATCAGCACACGTCACAGTGAGCTATGGAACTCTTGTTCTCCTGGTTGAACTCCCAAGGGGGACACTTTGCATATTAGCCTTTTATATATATAGATTAGCTAACAAACAACAGGATCCATTTCAAATGTCCAGCAAAATATTAGGGCAGAACTTGCATCCCTCCCAGCCTCCACAAAATTATGGCACAAGTCATTAGGAGGCTTCTGGCTATTCATGGCTCCACAAAGTGGTGACAAAAAGTCTTCAGGAGCTTTCTAGATATTGAGCCAGGATCCTGAGACTGCACAGGAAAGGACATACTCATTGGGGAGGTTATTTTGCAGTCAAGTAAAGCATTACAGAATTACAGTATATTGACGAACATGGCTACTATATGTCCATTTTTACTAAACAGGCTTCTTGCTTTTCACTGAGAAGCATTTGAGGAATATTTTATGGAACATTTTCTGACAGAAAGTGATTATGGAGTAAACTCTAAAAAGGCTGGGGATCTGAGTCTTTCAAACCCAGCCTCCACAGCTGCCCTCACTCCATGGCATGTTATGGAATGCCCAAACAGAGGAAGCCCAGATGGCCCCAAAGGTCACACTGAGAGTGAAGGTCTTCATATCATTCATTACCTGCACAATTTTGCTAAAGTCTTTTAAAGCTGTTCATTGCTTTTTAAAAGTTCTGCTGGGGTATGCTTCTTTCTTCCTGTCAATCTAAGTAGCGATCTTGCCTCTTCTATATTTTATAACCAGAGGCCAGGTAAAGTGTCATGAACAGAGCAGGCACTAAATAAATGTTTATAGTTACCAACAAACAGGTCAGGTGTCCATTTGTCAGGAAATATTCTAAGTGAGACCTTCCTGGAAGATGATTCCATTACTTCGTGAATGTTTTTCTAGGATTCTCACCCTTTACTGAGATAGAAATCATCTGGGTGATCAGGAACTATAAATCCTTTTAAATATTTACGAAAATCCTCATTGTTTGTAGAACATCATCAAATGCAAAAGTGCATGTTGAGGTGATGTCATTAACTCATTGCAATCCTATATAATAAAAGTTGAATATGCAAATCGACCAAACATCGGAATGACTGGTCACTATGACGCGCACTGATCACCAGGGGGTAGATGCTCAATGCAGGAGCTGCCCCCTGGTGGTCAGTGAGCTCCCACAGGAGGAGCCCAACTCAGCCAGAAGTCGGGCTCACAGCTGGTGAGCGCAGCAGCAGTGGCAGGCATCAGCGCTAAGGACCCCTTGGGTATGACTGTCAGCTATCCCGGAGGGGTCTGGACTGCGAGAGGGTGCTAGCCAGGCTGAGGGACCCCCTTGTCCTCACAGTGACAAATATTGTGCACTGAGCCTCTGGTGCAACTAGAGAGCACGCAATCCAATTGGCTTACTAATTTTCTGGAAAGGGTGTGAAACAATGAATCTTAATATAGTTTATGCATAAATCATTTGGACTTAATGGATCCACATTTTCACTCATATTTTATTAAAATCCTTTGCCATGGGCTGCAATTAGGTAACTAAGTATACATTAGTCAGAGAGTTGAAAACGTTAGAGCCAGGTAACTGAGGTAATTTTTCGAGATGAGGTCATTTTTTCCTCCAGCACCAGATGGATGCTGCAGGTGGGAACCATAACACTTTGATCTCTTCCATATGACTTGGAAAGAAAATTAGAGGTTAATGTTGACATTTGTTTTAACTTGTAAATGAAATATTTTATAGTAAAAATCACTGTTAAATTGTAAGCTACTGTGAAATGAAACACTTGTCAGCATGCTGTCTTTTTGTGCAACTGTCAAGTTAAAAATTTGAACTCTAAAATAGAAAATAATATGAAAAATTCAACTCTGTATCTGAAACAAAAGGAAGTCATTTTTTTCCCTTAGCTGGCAAATTTTTGTGAACTGTGATGGTATAGTGACACGTTTTGGTTTGTAGCGCATGCAATTATTCTCACTTTCCTATCTGAGAACACAGTTAATCTACTGCCCTGCCTCAACGGATTCAGTATTTCTGTTGTGTCACCTTTGTGACTCTCAGTTGGCAAGTATTGCAGTACATTTGAATTCACATATACCCAAATCGGTTAGAATGTAGAGATGCGCAGACCTGGCTAGAAAAGTCTCAGACACAAAGACCGGGCCTCGCTGGCGGCCTGGGTGTGCGAGCAGCATGTCTACAGGGAAAAGGTGTGTTCTCATTTCAGAGAGTTTTTCCACTATGGGTATGAATAATCCATGTAGATTGCCAATTCAGTGATCCAAATCAATGATGGCTGTTGACAATAGCAAACCACATAGGTGAGCCTTCCCACGCATCATCATACTTGGCAGCAGGCAGTCATCCTGCTGTACCTTTGAAGAAGCCCGATCGGGGGCTGTAAGTTAAGGGGGCACAATATTGAGTTCTTTCTATACGTCAGACACTGCTAGGTGCCTTATAAATAGTAGCCTATTTAATCCTTACAACAGCTTTCAGAAGAAGACTTCTGTTTTCACTTTATAGATAATGAATTTGAAGCTCAAAAAGATTAAGCAAGCTAGTCAAGGTTACATAGATAGGAAGTGGTGGCTCTAGTATTAAAACATGTCTGCCTGTGTCACTCATCCATCTTATCTATTTCTTCACTTGACAAGGATTTGTCGTGCATCTGTCATGCTGGGGGTGAGATACAGGGATACACAAGAATAACATCACCCCCAGGCTCACGGAGTTCCCAGCCATTCTAACAAATTACAAAGGTTATGTTCTTTCTGCCATACCCAACTAATACACCGACTGAAGGGTAGGCAGTTGTTTTTTAGAGATTAGTGGAAAAATGAAAGATAAAAGAAAATTTGTTAAAGACTATTTGAAAAGAAGTACTTTAGTATCCATGTCCAATCTCTGGAGTATTCCTGTTTACTATCAAACTACCTGAACAGTGGGCCTAATTTCCCCTTTGAAAAGAATAGTATTTTTCATAATTTTTTATTACTAGATGCAAAAGCAATTAATAGCTGATGAACAGTTACTGTTAATAAGAATGCATTAGTATTATTATTATTATTACCTTTTACTTATAAACCTCTTAACCATTTAAAAAATACTTTAACGTGTGTTTTCTATTCACTCTTTATGACAGCCCTGGCCAAGCCTGATTTTTTTGGATCCAGATTTCTTGGTGCTCATAGAAAGCAGTTCTTTTGCTTTGTCTTAATTTTTTAAAAAGTAACATTGATTGAGCTGCTGCTATCAGTAGTGCATTCTGCCAAACACTGTGGAGAAATAAAATGATTTAAAAAGTTCAGTCATTGCTCTTAAAGAAGCTTGATCAGGGCAACAGATAGATAACATAAGGGAGTGAGCCTCACCGTTTGGGGTGGGCTAATCCTGCACCTGGGCTACACATGGAATTCAAGAAGCCAACTGATGAAGGACGTCATGGAATTGTGGTGGATGTGAGGTAGAAAAGCAGCCTGGGTGCCTAATCTTGAGTAAACACCAGTAGAGGGGCCGAGACAAGAGTTTATTTACTTCTCTTACATCTCTTTTCAAAACAGGTATTTCTTACTAGCTAAGCAACACAATGGAAACCCCAGCGAAAGCAAGTAAAAAGGATACCCACGATGGGCAGCCGAAAGAAGAGAGACTGTCTATCAGCGAAGCACTTCTACACTATCAGTAAGCGTGGCTTGTAAAAAACCCAGCCGTTTCCGGTTTCTGTGTATGAATGGCCACCATCATCATTAAGACTCATGTAAAAGCTGTCCAGGGAGCCGGGCGGCAGGGGATTGGAGGCGGAATTGCATGCACTCTTGCGCTAAGTGCCTATTGTTAACAGTTTGGGAAACTTGGACTATCACGTAGCCCAAGCAGTAGCTATGGAACAGCACCCATCAATGTGGTTTTAGCTCCCTCCCTCCCTCCCTCCTCTTTTATTGGTCACTTTCCCGTATACACACAACATGCAACACGGAATAGTTAGCATACATTCACAGAAGAGTCATCGAGGAAACTTTTCTTCTTTATTTAACTTTTCATTTCCAGACATTCCAATTTGCATTCTCTCCAAATAGCTACAGATCAAATAAAAATGATTTGGCATTATTTTTAGTAAGAATAATATTTTTTAATGTTTCCCTCCCCGGAGCTGGAGACAAAACTAGAGGTCACACCTCCTCTATGTTCATGTTTTACCCGACCAGTGGGAGCTGAGCCCCTTGGCAGCTTTTGAACCCCAGCCTTGGCACAGGGTGGGTGTTTTAATGTGTGATTCTTAGGGAGTGAATGAATGATTATAGGTGAGTCTCTCTCCAAATGAGAATGTACTTCATTCATGCATTCATTGAACTAATACTTGACTCTTTGCCAAGAAAGAGGCAGATGCTGGGTACTAGGTGACAACAGTGAACAGGTCCCTGTCTGATGAAGCATGAGAGACAGAGATTAGATAACTAATTCAAGCTTTTTTAAAAAAGAAAAAAAAGAAAAAACACACATAATTAAGGTGCAATGAAAGAAAAGAGTGGGGTGCTACAGAGGGGTCAGGGAAAGCTCGTTTTAAGAAGCAATGTTTCAGCTGATGTCTGGGAGAGGAACGGGTGTTATGGAGACAGAGCAGTAGAGAGAAGGCTTGTGGGAAAGACACAGGTGAGGAAGTGCTTGTTCCAGTCCAGGAAACAAGAGAAGGCAGGGTGAGGGCAAGAGGGCAAGTGCAGACTCGGATACCCTTGGCAAGTGTGAGCAGGGCCCTGTAGGGCCCTTGGGATTTGGGAATGGCAAGCCATTTGTTGGAGGGGACAAGGTGGGAAGTGGGGAACCTGCGACACTGGTGACTAGGTCTTTGTTTGAGGGAATTATTTTTAATTCAGGGAAACTTCATCTGCTTCTTGAGAGACTAAGAGAGAAAGACCCACGGAAAGGGACCTTTCACGAGGCTCCCTTTTATTTTCTGCTTGACATAACTTTAATAACCAGAAACTACCAGCACTCACTTCTCAACCTAACTGCAAAGCTGCCTCATCTCATCTTAGGAGAGATGGACAGAAAGTCAGCCTCTAATGTGCTTCCTCCCCACCTTACCCTCCACCCCCTCCCTGTTTACAGTGACAATGTCCAATCACAACTGTTTCTCTCTCTTCTGGGTCATCCAGAGGCCAGTCTTTCTCCTATGTCACAGAGGTTTACAAAGAGGCAACACTTAAAAATTCTCATAATGTTGCCACGATAGAAATTAAACATCCCATGCTTTTGTTGTCTTTGCTTTGTAAAAACTGAATAAATAATCTCATGGCCTGCAACAGCCAAGGCCTCACTGCTAGGGACACTGTATCATTCCAGGTGTTCCTAGGTGACAGAAGTTTTGTCACATGACAGATCACCAGGACGTCCCCTCATTCTCTGAGATAGGATTCTTCCAGGGTCCCCCAGCAATCTCTAACATTTCTCATACACAACCTCAGCTCCTAACAACAAGCTGAGAGCACATAGTAGGCAGTCAATGATTTCTGAACAATTGAACTTTTTAAAATATATCCCAAGAAAATGAGGTCATGAACTTCCATGGTTATTTGTAAAGATCTGAGGCTGTTAGTGATAAATCTATAAGGTGACCAGCTCTGAGCAATGATGGTTTTTATTTTCTCCTTATATGTATCTCCCCTCACTCCCAGTTTTCCACAAAGAGTATGGATATAGATATAGAAAGAGATGTGCATATTATTATGGGGGGGGGGGGGGGGGGGGGGGGGGGGAGAGAGAGAGAGAGAGAGAGAGAGAGAGAGAGAGAGAGATAGAACTTTTTGGAATCCAAATTTATTTTCCTTTGCAGAACTCTCAATAAAATTGCATAGAGGGAGAAAGAGGACACATTACTAACATTTTAAAAATACAGGGAGGGAAGAGAAAAAGTGACATTCTATATACTAAGAATTTGACATCATTGTGCTTTAGAATAATAGTGCTATATAGCCTTTTAATTCTCTTAAATATGTCCTACCTCACTGATGTATTATCCCACTTTTTTCAGCATTTAGTATGCCATGTGGGTCACTAGGGCACTGAGTAGATGAGGGAGATATGAAAAGGAAGAAGTACAGAGAATGGTGAAGCTTGAATTCCCACCGTGGCTCACAGCGTGGAATCCTGAAGCTCAAATCCATCTCTCTGTGAGGCCTGACAACATGGAAGTGAATTCCAAGGAGAGTCTAGGCCAGTGATGGCGAACGTTTTGAGCTCGGCGTGTCAGCATTTTGAAAAACCCTAACTTAATTCTGGTGCCATGTCACATATTGAAATTTTTGATATTTGCAACCACAGTAAAACAAAGACTTATATTTTTGATATTTATTTGATATATTTAAATGCCATTTAACAAAGAAAAATCAACCCAAAAAATGAGTTCGCGTGTCACCTCTGACATGCGTGTCATAGGTTCGCCATCACTGGTCTAGGCTAAGGAAGGGGGCGATGATGCCGCCAAAACCTTCGGGGCATCTCAGAATTCCCCTGCAGATTTTTCTGAACCTCTCACTGCAGAAGGAACACAAGACAAAGCCCTCGGTTGCCTGCTCCTCTCTTCTCTGAGGGGAGGAATGGTAGGCTTACGTGTAGGGTGGCCAGATGCAGCAAATGAAAATACAGAGGCTCAATTTAATTTGAATTTCAGGTAAACAACAATTTTTTTTTAGTACAAGTGTGTCCCATGCAATATCTGGGGTTGGGGCTGAATGTAATCTCCAGTTTGCTCTTTGCATGCTCAGTCACCAACAAGGTAGGCTCTCAGGCTCACACCAATGGAGACCACATACTTGGCACCCATTTCCCTGCTCCACCCATGCAGAGAACTAGGATTACCATATTATAATTGCACAAATGTGAATAATTAGCGTAGGCTCTTTCAGATCATTTTCATTGATAACATTTCTATTTTTCTCCTTAAAAATGGGAGGTAGAGCCCTAACCGGTTTGGCTCAGTGGATAGAGCATCAGCCTGCAGACTGAAGGGTCCCAGGTTCGATTCCAGTCAAGGGCATGTACCTTGGTTGTGGGCACATCCCCGGTAGGGGGTGTGCAGGAGGCAGCTGATTGATGTTTCTCTCTCATCGATGTTTCTAACTCTCTATCCCTCTCCCTTCCTCTCTGTAAAAAAAATCAATAAAATATATTTTAAAATGGGAGGTAGAAAAGGCACTCTTTCAAAATCGTACATCTAAGCTTTAGGTAAGAAGTAAAAGATGGCTTATACGTCCCAATAGCTTTATTTCAAACTATTGTGTAGAGACCACCATATCTATAGTAGTGTTTTCACTTACTATTGTTCTCATATCCTGTTATTTCCCCCATAGTATTTATCACAATATGTAAATAATATGTTTGTGTATTACTTTGTTGTCTAGTAGAATGTAAGCTCTTTGAAGGCCAGTATCATAAGGACATTCATTGTTCGTCACTCTCTCTATACAGCCCAAAACAATGCTAGGCACATGGAGGCTACTCATTAAATCTCCATTATACTAGTATGTACGACTGACTGCATGAAAGGCAACACTGATCAACTTAAATTGTAGAATCTTGGAACTGACAAGGAATGATGGAGTTCATCTCCTTCAATTCTCTTATTTATAGAAGAGCAAGCCGAGGCCTAAACAGGTTAAGAGGCAGTTAGTGGAGGCCAAGCCTAAAATCCAAGGCTCATAGTATCTAAACAGAGCTTTTATGCCACTAAAGGATTTGCTTGTTTTGTTTTTATGTCCTATTTTCTCATCATTTGGAAAGAAGGAACCTTATTTTTCTCTCTACTATGTATACAGTGTCACAAATATCAATGATCACTTGGAGGAAGGGTTGAGGAAGTTAGATTCAAATTCAACTGAAATTTACTACGTACTTTGTGTCAGAAACATTCACATATGATTTCTTATTTTAACCCCTTATAAAAATATGTAGAGCTGGGTATTGGCCTCCATTAACAGCTTGGAAATTGAGTCTCAGAGAGCTGACTTGCCTGCGGTCAGATAGGTGAGAAGTGGTAGGGACAAAATTGAAAACCAGAGTTCCTCATCCATTAACCACTCCCCTCTCTGTTTACTACACCACGGAACTGCTATATTCTGTGTGTTTTTTAAGTTGAGGTAAGGAGGTTATATAGAGCTATGTCTGCGGCCTTATTTTGGTCTCATCTTTAAAGTTATAAGTTTTACTAAGTAACAGAGATATCAAGATATACTTAATACTTCAAATAGCCATCAAATGGCCCAAGTCTTTCCGCACTTTTCTCTCTTTCATACTTAGCAGATGCTCAACAAATTCTTGTGGGTGTTAAAAAAAAAAATGTATGTGGCCCTAACCAGTTTGGCTCAGTGGATAGAGCGTCAGCCTGTGGACTGAAAGGTCCCAGGTTCGATTCTGGTCAAGCGCATGTACCTTGGTTGCGGGCACATCCCCAGTAGGAGGTGTGCAGGAGGCAGCTGATCGATGTTTCTCTCCCATCCATGTTTCTAACTCTCTATCCCTCTCCCTTCCTCTCTGTAAAGAATCAATAAAATACATTTTTTAAAAAATGTATGTGTCAGGAAAGAAGCTTTTATTATTTATAGAAGAGATGACATACTAATGAACTTGAACCAATAGGTATGCCTAGTTTACCTTTCCATTTCAAGAGGATGGGCATGCCTTATAAAGTCTTTGTTTTGTCATTTTTATCTGAATGTTTTTAGAATTCTAGAAATCATGTTTTCAGTGTGCCCTCTCTAGGGTCTCTTAAAGCCGAATTATTTAAAGGTAGTTAGAAAGCGTCAAAATTACTACTATGAAATACAAATGGTGATTGATTTCAAAACCTGAAGTTATCTCTATCTTTTACTGAGTAAAATATACCCAGAAACACAAAATCACTTAAGAGAGGTTCTTATTCCTACATGGGTTTTTATAATCTATTTAATACTTTATTTCAACTCAAATATTTTAACTTTTCAATGTTTTTAAATATATTTTATTGATTTTTTACAGAGATGAAGGGAGAGAGATAGAGAGTTAGAAACATCGATGAGAGAGTAACATCGATCAGCTGCCTCCTGCACACTCCCCACGGGGGATGTGCCCGCAACCCAGGTACATGCCCTTGACCGGAATCGAACCTGGGACCTTCCAGTCTGCAGGCCGACGCTCTATCCACTGAGCCAAACCAGTTTTGGCTTAACTTTTCAATTTTGACTCACTAATTTTTCCTAAGATAAGTAATTGTAACAAATGTTATCTTGGTTTATTACCAGCTTGCAAATAAAGGAGAATATAGTAGAACGATTGATGGTGCAGATAAAGAATCTTAGAGAAAAGAACCAAAAGTCTCATGACAGAGTGAGTATAAGATTTAAAACCTATTTATAGTCATTAAACATTTACACAAATGCTTAAAAAAATTTTGAGTTATGAAATGTACCCTAGGAAATTATCTTACTTAGTGCTTATAATTGGTTAATTTACAATCTATTTGAGTGTGGGTTTTTTGTACATGTGAGGCAAAAGGGTATTGCTGTTCCTATTATATTATTTGCAGTGTCAGAGGAAGTCCGTTTGAATTTTGTTATTTAAATATGTTTTTGGTGATTTTCAGAGAGAGAGGAAGGGAGAGGGATAGAGAGATAGAAACATCGATGAGAAACATCATCTATTGGCTGCCTCCTGCACGCCTCTTTCTGGAGATTGTACCCGCAACCCAGTCATATGCCCTGACCAGGAATCAAATCGGTGACCTCTTGGTTCATGGGTCAATGCTCATCCAATGAGCCACACCGGCCAGGCTGAATTGTGTTATTTAGATCATGAGGATGCTGAATGTTAGGTTAAAAATTTTAAAGTTCTGAAACCACATTAATCTTCTAATTTCTTCTTTAACCTAAACATTGTTTCTTTATTTTTAATTTCTGTATCTGTTTTCTTTTAGATTTTTTAGAGTGCGAATATGTAAATATTATTTGAAAAGTACAATCTTAGTTGCTAAATGACTAATTTAATGTTTAAGATTATATGTTGTTGTTTTTTAAATCAGATTAAAACGGATATCCAAGAGGTGCTGTATGCAACTATAAGAACTAAAGACAAAGAGAAATAAAGTTTGAAAGCAGTAAATGGTCATTAAACTTATCCCATAAAGCATCTCATGAATGGCGAAATCCATCTCATGAGGATGTCCCCTATTAAAACATTAACTTTATATGGACCCTGAAACTTCCACACTGAAATGTTATTTGAGGAGGGGGGCTTTTGTCCAAAAAAGACTATTTACAAATTTTTAAAAATACATTTTTATTGATTTTAGAGTGGAAGGGAGAGGGAGAGAGAGAAACATCAGTGATGAGAGAGAATTATTGATCAGCTGCCTCCTCCACGCCCCCCCTCCAGGGATCGAGCTGCAACTGAATTGAACCATGACCTCCTGGTTCATAGGTCAATGCTCAACCACTGAGCTACACTAGCCAGGCTAAATGTAATTTTCTATCCAATGGTTACTGGGATTAATTTTAAGTCTCCCATATTCCATATACTTTTAAAGATATTATTGTATACCTTATTTAATTAAATATTTCTCACTTTCTAAGCCTCTATTTTGAGGAAAATCCGTGTAAACACTTCAGCAGATGTACTTGATTACTGTTGTTTTTCATGACAGAATGGACGCTTAAAGGATGAACAGATTTGGCACATACGGAACCTAATAAAGGAACTGAGTGAAGAGAAGTCGGAAGGATTAAAAGTAACAAGAGAGGATGTCGAAACAGCAATGAAAGAGAAGTGGAAGTTTGAAAGAGACCAGGAACAAAACTTAAAAGGTGATGTACGAACTCGGAAGTTTACCATGAAGCTGAATCAAGTTATGTCTTGAATGTATTAACACTGCTGTTTCCTAACATATCAAAAATGCTGTGACCATATTTCGGAGAATATCATTATCACCACAACTACAAACACATGGAGGTAAAGGAACAGGAGAGGGAAGTCACAGAGTGGGCAGGGAGCTGGAATCAAGTGAGGAGGAGGAGGAAGGGCAGGGATGAAAACCAAAGACACATGAAAACCATCTGACGCCTACACACTGGACGATATCCTGTTAGACGCCACTCTGAACTCCTCACAGTGGGGGTCTCTCCTTTCTGTTGGGGAATTCTCTTGCTTGGTGGCCTCATTGGCTTCTGCCTCAGTTCAGAGACGGGAATGATAAGGTGAATTTAACCATGAAGATTCCCCCGACCACTATCTCTACCGAGCTCAGCCCCACTTTACGCCCATTTAGATGGGCAAAGAGGGATTCGCGTTGGAAAAGAGGCAGTGTGGAGGACAGGTGCAGAATCTGAAGGACCCAGGACATACTCTTGCCATGGGCTTAGGAAATACCATGATCCTAGGGGTAAGTTACACACACAGTTTTGACACTTGTATTGTTTTTTTTTTTTTTAATTCCTATTCTTTTATCCCAAGGTTGCTGCTAGGATTTCTAAAACTACTTTAGCCAGGGCCCTATCAACACCACCTCTGCTAGGACGCTGGAAAGCATGGGCAAGAGACTTGAGTGCTATCAGGAAGCAGTACTGGAAGCTGGGACTAGAATGTCCTGCATTTCCCTGTGTGTTTCAGGGAGCCTCCTCACCCAAGCACTTGGCACAGAACAGGCATGCATTCAAAGATAATTTGCTGGTTTGAACGAAACTGTTACTAAAAGCAAACATTAACCAGCAAAATTCATTCTTGGGGGTCTCAAAAACTGTCCCCATCCACCTCCTCCTACCCCCGTTCTTTCTGGGCAACAATGATGTCATGAGGTGGTAAGTGTGTATGGTGCAGGGCTCCTCTCCAGGAAAGTGTTGCTTATGTTTGGAAGGAATCCTTTCATCAGTCCGTGGAGATGGGAGTGAGACCAAAACAGATCCTCTGATGTGCTCACTGAGCGGCCTCCACAGGGAATGGGCCCAGTGACTTGAGGTGTGTCTGCTTAGGGTTTGGGCTGAGTGCCGGGCGTGTATGTCATGCAAGGCTGGGGCCCAGCTGGATGCCTGAGCACAGCAGAGGAGGACTGGACGTGCGTGCTGTCCAAGGAAGAAAGCCACCCACAGAAGCCAAGAAAGAAAGGGGGAGAGAGCAGGTGTGTCTGTTACGTACAGGTAGTCACTGGCCACTGGGCTGGTTTGTGGAGCAGCAGCCATACCTTCAGCTTGTTTCCATGCAGAACCTCAGACCCGTCCAGACCTACTGAATTGGAACCTGCATTTTGATAAGGTCCTAGGACAGTGATGGCGAACCTATGACACACGTGTCAGAGGTGACACGCGAACTCATTTTTTTGGTTGATTTTTCTTTGTTAAATGGCATTTAAATATATAAAATAAATACCAAAGATATAAGTCTTTGTTTTACTATGGTTGCAAATATCAAAAAATTTCTATATGTGACACGGCACCAGAGTTAAGTTAGGGTTTTTCAAAATGCTGACACACCGAGCTCAAAAGGTTTGCCATCACTGCCCTAAGGAGATTCCTACACACAGTGAGTCTTGAGAAGCACTGATGTAATGCCTTCCTTCTAACTTTAGTTAGGACTCTTTCAGTTACCAGGATAAAAATCTAACCCAAACTTGCTTAAGCATAAAGAAGATGGTCATTCTTTTTCAGATAACCAAGTAGAAAAGGTAGGTGCCCCAGAGCCTCACATGCTCTCAGATCTCAGCTCTTATAAAATAAATTTAAAAAACTCCCTCTCCCCTCCCTACCTCTCCTCCTCTCTCTTCTTCTTTCGCCCTCCCCACCTCCTTTATCCCTGTGCTCTCTCTGTCATGTTGTCCCCATGAGGCTGGCACTCAAACCATAGACACCTCTGATCTTACATCCTTATAACCTCAGAATGGAGACAAGAGACATGTTTTCCACCAGTTTCAGTAAAAATATTTCTCTGAAGGACTCAGCTTGTGCCTAGCTTGGGACACATGCCCACTCCGGGACCAGTCCCTGTGGTCAGGAGAAGGGGTCACTCTAATTGGCCTACATTCAGGGTGGGGCAAAAGTAGGTTTTCAGTTGTGAGTATGTGAAACATAGTTTATTTCTTGAACTTTTACTTATTAATTATTGTAGCATTTTTCATACAAATAACTTTATTTGACAAGGAGCAGGAAAAGGGTGTTACCAGAAAGGAAGTGAAGAGGGTTCTGGGAAAGTAGAGTAATATGATGCCAACCCGCACTCCCCCCAAAAGCCAAGGTGGCACAGGGCTGAGCCAGCAGCCATCTGCTCAAATGAGAGGACGCTGACCACCGGGGTTAGAGGAGGCTTAACTGTCAAGTGACAAAGCAAGTGCTGTTTATGAAGGGGTGTCAAAATCTATGATCTTACATCTTTGGAAGAAGACATGTCTGGAGTCCTCCTGGGCCTCCGGACTGAAGAACAGCCCTCCCGCCCGACTGGAATGCATCTGTCATTCCATAAGCATCTACTGAGCCCCAACTACGTGCCAGACTCTTGCTAAGAGCTGGGCTTACAGAGATGAGTTGAGAGGGTTAGCTGCCGTCAGGAGCTCTCAGAGATGAGTGAGAGGTGGTACTGGCCGCAAGGAGCTCTCAGACAAGAGGGTGTGTGGTAGTGAGCCATGTAGCCATTATGTCATGGCACCTGCCTCTCTGTAACGCTTCCTTTTCCAAAATATCCAGCAGCACCATATTCAGCCTGAAGACTGAGTGGCACATCATGCTTAGCAAGTGCAGCAGGACCAACGGAACACTTACATAGTTGAGATGGCTCAGTGTCTGTACCTGTTTAACTGGGGAGCATATCTTTCACTCTGAAGTCTTATAAGTGGGTGTGGGGGAAACTTGTTATGACTATCATATACTATCATTTCACACAAATGAACTTGAGATGACAGGCTAAACAACTCACTTATAGAAATGGTTGCCAAGGACTATGGAATGATAAAGGATGAAATCACTTTGCCCAGAGGCATAATGGGCAGAAAAATGACAATTTACTAATAAAAAAAAAGTGTGGGACATCATATATTGTACACGAGGAATAATTTAAACTTGTGGGTTCCTAGGCATATAGCTTAATTGTCTATTGTAGCTTCCAATCATAGCCCCAAACATCTACTTTAGAGTTGAAATTTTAATTTTAGATTTTGAATCATGAGGGATAGTTAAACAATAGTTTGAATAATTTAGAGTTCCTATATATAAAATAGGATTTATGAGATAACAGCATTTTAATATCAGATTCATCAAATCAGATGGCAACATATAACGGTGGCAAGGACTGCGGAAATGACATGGTGTTTTGATTTTCTTTCAACAGATATGCGCTTGCAAATAAGTAATGCTGAGAAACTATTTCTTGAGAAACTCAGTGAGAAGGCATATTGGGAAGAGTACAAGAATGTAGGGAGTGCACAACATGCTAAACTCATTATCTCCTTACAAAATGACATCAATAAAGTGAAAGAGAATGCGGAGAAAATGTCAGGTCAGTTGCAACAAAACCAGTTCAAGTTCAGTAAAAACACTTTAGAGGGCAGACATTTGATGGGGGAAAAAAAATGGGTACTCCCTGAACCATCCGTTCACTGGGTCAGCACCAGCAGCTTGAGCCCCATAGCAGAGGTGGAGGAGGAAACAGAGAAACTATCCCAGGACCACCTAAGAAACTGCGGAGGGGAAGTAAAGGGAGGGGAGGCGGGCTGGAGAAACCCTGCCAGCAACCAAAGAAGTTTCATTCAAGGACGAAGTTTCATTCAGTGGGTGGTGTCTGTGCTGCCACACACGGGGCTGGGGTAAGTTCAGTGAGGCAGGAGGGTGCTGGGGTCGGGTTATGTTGGAAAGGAAATCCACCTGAGGTAAACTAAAGCAGTCTCAAGCAAACGCTAAGTTGTAGTCAGAAAACACTGGAGAACAAACACGACACAGAAGTGGAGAGGGTATGGAGCAGGATGACGTTAGGCGTGAGGGCGCACCAGGACTAGCTCTGGGGAACATGAGGCCACCTCATCTGTCTGTCGCTGCAACTAGCAGAGTGGCTTAAAGGGTCACCAGAGACCCCGAGACAGGAAAGTCGCAGGAAAGAACAAGTGGGAGAAAGTTGGCCTGAAAGAATGCGGTGGGTGGATGGCAGTTCTGAGCCCAGCTGGAGATGGTGCCCAGCATGGTAGTGGGTTCATGTGAGGTCGTTGCCATCATCCTCTGCTGAGGGCCTGTCCAGACACTCTGCTTCTAGACTAATTTTCATGTAAGTTTCCCAGCTCAGGGCCTCAGGTGGTATAAATGCGGCCCCAGATTAGTCTGGGCTTGGAATTACACTTTTCCAAAAGGTTCTCCTCCCCAAAGAAAAGTACAGAGTGTGACACCTTCCTCCTCCGGTCTGTTTCCCCCGCCACTCAGTCCTCTCTCTAGATAAAACCACTGTGACCAGTTTCTTAACGGAGCCTTTCAGGAATATTATATACACAAACAGCGCGCTACGAGTGTGACTTTCCATGCAACAATGTGGACATCATTCTAGATCTGTACTTACTAGCACCTCTTCACTCTCCCAATGGCTATTTGGTCTTGTGGTACTATAATTTTTTAACCTACTGATATGGATTTGGGTTGTTTCCTGCTTTTTACTATTACAAATAATGCTGCAATGAATATCCTTGTACATATCTCATTTTACTGTGATCAGTATTCTTATAATCATGTACTTTCATTTATGTGTCTCTCTAAAGAGAAATGGCTGGCCCAACAGCCCATTTATTTTTATTTTGAGAGGCCTGGCCCTCCATAGAAGTTGTACTAAGTTTCCCCACATTTTCAATAATGGGTGATATTATCCAACTTTTTGTTTGTCAGCCTTAAAAGTAGAAAACTGGTCCAGCTGGTGTGGCTCAATGGTTGAGCGGTGACCTACGAACCAGGAGGCCACAGTTCGATTCCCGGTCAGGCCACATGCCCAGGTTTCAGGTTCAATCCCCAGTGTGGGGCATGCAGGAGGCATCCATTCAATGATTCTCTCCCATCATTGATGTTTCTATCTCTCTTTCCTTCTCCCTTCCGCTCTGAAATCAATTAAAAATATATGTTTTTAAAACGTAGAAAACTGTATCTCACTATAGCTTTAATTTACATTTCTCTTATTATGAACACTAGTGAATATCTTTTCATAAGGTCAAGAAGCATATGAATTTTCTTTCATATGAACCAGTTCACACCCTTTGCCCACTTTCTATTGTATAGCGAAACATTTTCCATTGTTAAGGAAATTAGCTCTTTAACAGTGCTATAAGGTACAAATATTTTTCCCATTTGTCATTAGCCTTTTATTTTTGAGGTGTCTATGAGAAAATTTTGTAGTTTTATATTTAAATCTTTGACTTGTGTTTTGCGTGTGTGTGAGAGGTAGGAAGTTTTTTGCCAGATGATTTTCCAGCTGTCCCAACATCATTTATCAAGTAATCCATTTTCACCCTACTGATCTGAGATGTGAACTTCATCGTATTTTAATTTCCCGTGTGTATAAGGAGATCTTTCTGTACTTTCTACTCTGTTCCATTGATTTGTCTATGTATTTGTGCACCAGTGCTATACTTCTAAAATGATTATTTTTCTAGCATGTTTAAAATGTTTTAAAATTGTATCCAGCATTTCTTTATACTTTTAAAGCAGAAAGAGTGATTTTCTCATATAAAACTAAACTCATTATCTTTTTTGAAATTTATCTTTATTGTTGAAAGTATTACAGATGTCCCCTTTCTTTTTCCCATTGGCCCCTTTCACTCCCCTGCCCCCATTCCTGATCATGTTACCTGTGTCCATCAACCATTATCTTGATTAGACATTTGGATGATTTGTTTCAGCTAAAAATTTTCATTGCTTGAGGTAGTATCAGTGAAGTGAGAGCTCTCCTGCCCCTTGCCATGCTCCCCTACAGCCCTGGGGGAAGAGCTACAGAAGTTAAGGTCAGAGGAAATGGTAGAAGGTCCAAGCTAAGGAGAGAATAGCCATAACTCTGAATGAAATTGAAAATTTGATTTTTATATATTAAAAAAAAAACTGAACATATTGATTAGTGCTTGAAGGACCTCTTCTTTTCACAAAGGAACCAGAAAAGGTATAGGATTTGCCATGTATCTTACTAAGACAGAGCTACTAGCCTCCTAGCATGAATTTTAAAGGGAAGAGACGAAAATCAGGTTGCTTGATGTCCCATGATCACTATAGTGAGGAATGGGAGGACTGAAGATGGAAAGTGAAGGCCATCGGATCAGTGGTGGCCCTAGGATGGCTCCTCCCTACATTTACCTCTCGGCCTGTGACTCCCTCTCAGGGCACCTCTGCTATGCTCTGTGTGCTTGTCCCATTCTCTCCTTGCTTCCCACAGATCAATTTTGCAGTGTTCTCCAGCCCAGGCTCTGAAGAGAACTAATCAGACCTAGCACAAACCGTCCTTGGTCCACTGTCCCCCCGCCCTGCCCCCCCCCCCCTCATTCAGCAGCCACACTGAGGCCTGGGGCAGGAGGAGAAAGAAGCGCCTTGAGCTGCTGCCCTGAGCTTTACCTAGAAGGAGATATTAGGGTATTGGTACCGAAACACAGTGACTGATTATTCAGGACATGGCTCCTTCGCACAATAAAAGGAAAGGAAAGCTGAGGTAGGCCCAGGAATAAAGTGTGGGTTATTACCCGTCATTAGATGTTAGGGTCAGAGATCATTTTGACTTTTGTCCTTCCAGGTGCACAGGACAGGGAGCCATACAAGTTCTTTGTGAGTTAAAAGACGAGGGTTCAGGTCCACTTACAAAAAAGTAACATTCCTTCTTTGAATGTCAGTTTCCTCGTCGGCAACCTCTGAGAGTCCCTAAGTGACCTCCAAGAGCACTCACAGTCCCAGCACCTGCTTTTCTACACCTGATCGCCTCTAGCCCTTACAAGCTCCTCTGGGTTGGATGTCACTGTGTCGGTTTAAAGATGAGGAAAGAAATGCCCAAGGGAGTTCTTTGTCTTTACCAAACTCACAAGCTCAGCAAGTAGTGGAAATGAGATTTGAACCCATGTGTGTGACACCAAGCCAATATGCTTCAGGTAGTCCTCCCAGCGCCGAGGCAGGGAGGCAGGCAGGCAGGCAGGCAGGGACGGCTCCGTAACACGCTGGGCCTGAAGAAACGCTCCAGGGCTGGTGCTGCTCGGTTTTCTCCAGATGGGGCTGAAAGGAGGCCGCCACCGCGGGGGAGGATCAGCACAATAAAGCGGTATGACACCAGAAGTATGTGAAGCGTAGACAGCCAACTCCCAAAAAAGCTGTGGAGGAGTCAGCCGAAGCTGAGCTAGACACAACAGAGAAAGGAGGAAATGCAAAGCAGGCCTCGGCCAGGCAGTCAGCTTGTGAGAAGTGACCACATTACACTGGGCACCTGAGCAGCCAGCAGCCCGAAGGGACAAGGTCACAGGCTCCCACGCTTCCACTGGCGACAGTCTCACACTTTTATGAGGAGACTTTCACACACGCCCAGCTCCTTTGGCTGTATTCACACATGAGTGGTTAAGAGTTGTTATCTGATCATCTGAATCGCAAAGGGTAAAGATGAGGTTTCACATCCTCCCTTCTGCAGGGTTAACTCTGCTTTTAAGAAGAAAAACAGCCCACACAATTTTATACGGAATTTGAAACAGAGTTTGGATGTTATTACTGCTTTTTCAGTACAAATATGGCAACAGAGAGCTGCAACTTTAGTCGGAGAGTATTTAGTCATCTCTTTTTTATTATTTACAGCAAAGAATTAATATTTCATGTTATCAAGCTCTTTTATTTTATTTTATTTTTTTATTTATTTCAGAGAGGAAGGGAGAGGGAGAGAGAGATAGAAACATCAATGATGAGAGAGAATCATTGATTGGTTGCCTCCTGCACGCCCCACACTGGGGATCGAGCCCACAACCCAGGCGTGTGCCCTGAATCGAACCTGTGACTGAGCCAAACCAGCCAGGGCCATATGGTTCCTTTTAAATGCTAAGTCTGTAAAATTATTATGGCTAGCCTCCTGATACATGGCAACTTTTAGACTGATGTTAGTGTTTTGTTGGGTAGATGTTTCAAAAATACCCAGAATTAGTCTAATGGACTATGTCCTGAATTAAAAAAGAGAGTCCATCAGAAATGAGGTTGGAAAGATTAATATACTCAAGCAATTACTTCAAATGAGTAAGAAAAATACAGATTTTAGCAATGAGCACCTGTGGGCTGGAAGAATGAAGACTTCCATTTCTCACTCTCCAGATGTCAAATTAGACTAGTCCCCAAAATCTTACAAACCCTCTTGTTTATAAACGGCTCTCTCATCAGACACTCTTGTGCCAACTCCATTAGAGGCAGACCCTGACCATTGCGGCCCCCTTTCTGGCCACTCCACAACTTGGGGAGCTCTCCCTTCCTCCCGGCTCACGGCCCCTCCCCTCCCACCAAAGCTGCCACTGGCCGTTGCCATGATTTGGGGCTGCTGTCCTGCGCTGCAGCCTCAGATCCCTGCCTGCCAAAGACGGGCAGTTTGCCCAATTTAATTTTCTTCAGAATATTTTTAATATCTGTTGAGTCCCAGGGATTTCAGTAATAGAAAGATGAGGAAAAGAAGTGTTTACACTCTGCCTTCAGCGTTTTCTTCGGTTAGGAGACACAGTGCTTCCGGTACTAAGTCCAGATGGTACTAAGTCCCGCCCAGCCCGCAGCCCCCTCTCCAAACTACTGAAAGAGCAGACCTGCAGTTCCGTCCATGCCGTTGCAAATGGTAAGAATTCCTTCTTTTTTACAGCAGCATAGTATTCCATCAGGTAGATGTACTACATTTTTCTAATCCATTCATCTGTTGATGGGCACTTAGGCTGTTTCCAAATCTTAGCTATGGTAGATTGTGCTGCTATGAACATAGGGATGCATATATCCTTTCTGATTGGTGTTTCTGGTTTCTTGGGACTACAGGAGGAAGGCGGGGGAGGGGTGGGGGGGGGGGGTAAGAGATTAAGCAAAGGACTCGTAGGCATGCATATAAGCATAACTAATGGACATAAGACACTGGGGGGGAGGGGTAAGGGAGGCCAGGGGAAGGCAAGGAGGGAAAAAAAGGAGACAAACGTACTACTCTTTGTAATATTTTAAGCAATAATAAAAAATAATGCTAAACAACAACAAAAAACAAACAAACAAAAAGAGCAGACCTGCAGACCTCCCCCATGCAAGGCAGACCCCTGAGAATTCTTGGCTGACTCTGTCTGTGGGGAACACTGTCCCTTTGAAACAATGTCCTAAAGGGCAGTGAGGTTCCACACCACCATTGGGACAATGCTACTGTTTAGTGACGGAATCCTGTAACTAAACGGGTCTCTGTGGACCAGCCCAGAAATCCAGCAACCTTAATTGTCAGCATCATTTGTATGAGAAAATACTTTCCAACTTCCCAATAATGATCCTTCAGGCCTTATAAATATAACATAGATGTTATCATAAAACAAAACTAACCTGATTGTTCTCTGGTTGGGAGTGGTCCAGTTCCCTCCTGTTGCACACGGGTGACGCCCTCACTTTATTCAATCTTTGCTCAAATGTTACCTCCTTAAAAAAGTATTCTATGATCACCATGTCTAAAATAGAGACTTGTAGTTTTTCTTCATCACACACATCTCCACCCGAAATGTTTATTTGCTTGTTTACATATTTCTGGTCTGGCTTCCCCACTAGAACGTACATGTCTTAAAGGTAGGGGTTTTGTCCCTTATTTGGCAATACTATCAGTGCCTTAAATAGTGTCACAGACATCCAAAAAACTTGATGATTTATTGTATGAACAGTGAACAAACTGGACTGATTTATCCTGCTTTGCTTCTCTCCAACCTGTAAAGCAGCCCCATGTCACTGTGCCTCACTTCCCTTGAATAGGGGTGCTGGTTAGATGACCTCTAAGCAACTCTCAAGGCCTCAAACTTTATGATCCTTTGCTCTCTCACTTCTGACATTTATGACCTAAGAAAGTCCAGAGAGGGTAGAGAATCTGCACTTCTTCTCTGTCCTCTCTCTCCCTCTGAGCCTAACTCAGAGCCAGGTCTACTGACTTTCACAGCTCTTCTACCATTCTCGCTCCTCTCTCATTTTGTCCTACCTGTCCCAGGAAACACACTCCAAGAACACTGGAAATGTAGTTAGGTGAAGTCAGAGGTACAGGATGCTATGCAAGTGAGTAATCAAATCTCCCTTATATTTCTGTTGTGGAATCAGAAGTTGTGGGATAGGAAGTTGTGTGACATGAAGTTGTGTGATATGAAGGGTAGATGGACACACAAGGACTCAAATATTGGAAGCTCTCCCTTTGGAGAGACAATCCTTTGAAAGTACAAATGTTCTTGGGATAGATGTCATCTTAAACTAACTCACATTAAGGTGCTAGTAAATTATTGGAGCATTTCTGCTAACTGAAGGTTCTAGATGCTTCATTAACTATGTACCCTAAAAACTCAGGGAGTAAAAGGTGTAAAACAGAGAGGTGAAAATCATGGAAGATAAAATTTACTAACATCATGGCTTTATCTAGAATCAGCCTTGTTAAGCTTTCTAATTTTCTTTTTAAAGAACAGTATAAAATCACTCTAGAAGATGCTAGAAAAAGAATAATCAGAGACACTTTGCTGCAACTGGACCAAAAGAAGGAATGGGCCACAGAGGTATACTTCAGTTTTTTTATTTTAAGAAACACACAACTTTCCTCCTTATTTTTCCTTGTAGTATCCTATATAATAAAAGGCTAATATGCAAATTGTTCCCTCCACTGGGAATTTGACCAGAGGGCAGGGCCAGCTGGCCAACCAACCGCCCTCGGCCCCTCCCTGCTGCCGATCCAGCCGGACCCCACCCATACATGAATTCGTGCACTGGGCCTCTAGTATTATAATAGTTAAGAACTTGAGGTCTTAAATTAGGCAGTTTGTATTTAAATTACAGTTCTATCACTTATTTGGTATATAAACTGAATTAGTTACTTGACTTTTCTGGGCTTCAGTTTCTAAATCTATAAAAAGGGGAAAATAATAATATTTACCTTTAAAGAATAAGGATTGAATAAGATGATTTAAATAGCATAGTATCTCATAAGGATCAAGAGCTTAAATTATTATTCATTTATTTTTAAAGTATAATAATAATGGCTACAGTACGTTATTAAATAAAGTTGTGGATGAATTATAGAATGAAATATAATTTGTCTAAAAAGTACTTTCTTATATATCCAAACCTAAGAGAGCATACTTTATATTCCTAGAGCTTTAAAGATTTGAGATATAAAAAATATTTGAGATATAATCTCTAATCTTATATGTTTTCAAATTTCTTTGTTTTGCAAGAATATCTCTTTTTTCCCCTCACTGTCCTTCCCTTGTTCCCAGAATATCGTCTTAATCAGTGAGGCCCACTGGGA